TGTATGTATCATCGATATTTAGATCTGGATAAAGTTTGTTTCTTTAATGCGCCTATAGATCTTGGTTTCTTTTGTATGTTATAGTAACGTCGTGCACAACGTTTCAGGGCTCACCCACCCCCTGCATTTGGTTCTTCCTCCAATCTAGAGGCGCTCGGGCTCGAAACAAATGAGGGTGACGTCTGGAGCACCAATGATACTGATCACAGTGTACATCTCATTTCCAAGTAAACAATTTCCTCCTATGCGATGCTGGATTTTCGGTTTTTTCTTTCCTTATTTGTTTAGCATTTCAGGATGTATAATATGAATAAAATCACCCTTCTGGACCCCCAATAGACTGTTTCTGATATTTCGGAGTTGCAGTTTTACAAATGGCTAACATGGCTAAATTGTGGTGGTATTTACCTTTCGAAGAATGCATTTCTTTCCTTTATTAAAAAAAATGAGAGCAGTAGACAGTAATCTCTAATGCTTTGCTGCGAATCGGCTCCATATATGTCTTGACGTGCCTTTTCTTTAAAAACACTGATCTTAATATGTGGATATGTACTATTTTCCTTGAATACAAGAAAATCCACACTTTCTTAAGTTTGATATATATATGAATCTTGGTTAGGGGTGGAAGCATCTCCAAAAAGGCCGATACTTGCCTTAGCTAGCCTCTTTAAGCTTTTTGTTTCATTCTGGTTTGATGACATTGCATGAAACTGATAGATTATCATATGTGGAGGCCTTCACTTTTCCCGAGTACATAAAACTTAAGCTCATATTTAGGGACATATAGAGACTGTTGATATGCAAACAATTTGAGAAGTTATATTCTCTGTTAACTCATTGTTCTCTCTGTTCTGAATCTTGCAGGCCAATGCATGAGATAACTTTTGCAACTATTGATAAGCCAAAGCTCCTTAGTCAGGTAGTCACACTTCTTTTTCCTTGGAGTGTGGAAATTCTTTGACACGGCTACTCACAGAATTAGCCCTGGCATAGTTGATAGAGCTAACTAAATTCAGTAAATTAAGAAGCCAGCATACATAATGAATGAAAAAATAGTTTTAACAAAGAACTTGGTAATAGTAGGAAGAAACTAACAAAATACATTAAAGCCATTTCCAGAGTAAACTTCTGTTGTGAACTGGCAACTACTTGCCACCTGACACTCTGTCATCTATGCATTATTTTACAGCTGACCTGTTTGCTTGCTGAGCTCGGTCTTGACATCCAAGAAGCACATGCATTTTCAACAATTGATGGCTACTCATTGGATGTATTTGTCGTCACTGGATGGCATCTTGAGGTACATAGTTTCTCTCTGCTTCCATTATATCGCTGAAATGGGTTATTTGCTTATTAAGGCTTCTTTTAGTTCGGCAACGTGTAATATTTTTATGCTGCTATATTAATATTAATATTATTATTTTGCTGCAACTTCTAGAGTACTGAGCAGCTGCAAGGAAAGTTGCTTCAGAAATTTCACAATGCTGAGGTATAAGCTTCCTTCTTCCCTTCCTTTTGTGAAGTTGTTAGCTCCATAAAAAGCAACCTTTTGCTCTCTTGGTATTACTTAAATTGTTCTCTCTGCTTTTCTTGAGAAGTTAGTTTGTTGAAGAAGATAAAAAACGTTAATTCTATCTGAAACAAATGAATACAAAAGATCTTGTGATTGGCAAAGTTCAAATCTTGATGGATACCATGAAAGTGTTACTTTGAACATTTCATATTTGACACAGTGCTTCTATAGTGATTTGTTCTGAAATTATGAGCGACTGTTTAACTGTGGTAAGTTAGCTTTCTATAGACACGAGCTTGGCCTGTATCAAGCTCATCATCACCATCATCAGAAGGTCCACAAGGTGGACAAGGTATGCCATCTACAAGTGTTGAAATTCCAACAGATGGTGCAGATGTTTGGGAAATTGACCTTAAACTGCTTAAGTTTGGAAGCAAAGTTGCTTCCGGATCAAATGGCGACCTGTAAGTTTCAGTTTTCCTTACTCAATAACGTGGAAATGGGAACCTATTGAGAGCTTCATCTGATACTTGGGCTTGCTTAGATACCGTGGAACATACTGCAATCAGGACGTGGCCATCAAAATAGTGAGGCCTGAGCGCATCAGTGCAGATATGTACCGAGATTTTGCACAAGAAGTGTACATCATGAGGTTTGTTTGAAATTTTTTACTGACATGATCTTTCCAAAGACAGTTGCCCTCCCAGCTACAATTAATTTCAGTAATGTTGAAGATGTCAAATACCTAGTGTAGGTTTTAATAATAGTTCATAAATGCCTCTCAACATTGTTAATCATGCAAATGTTTCTTGGTTTATACATGCTTGCAGAAAGGTCCGTCACAGGAATGTCGTGCAATTTATTGGTGCCTGTACAAGACAACCAACGTTGTATATAGTAACGGGTATACTACGATGAGATTCATCTCTGCAGTAGGCATGTCAATAAATTTCTATGGTGTTTGATCCCCTTACCCCATTTTTGCATTTCCTTGTCTCAGATTTCATGTCAGGAGGGAGTGTCTATGATTACCTCCACAAAAATAATAATGCTTTCAAGCTTCCTGAAATACTGAAAGTGGCAACCGACATCTCTAAAGGAATGAACTACCTGCACCAAAACAACATAATTCACCGTGATCTCAAGACTGCAAACCTTCTCATGGATGAAAACAGGGTCAGTTTTTTCCAAAGCCCTAAATCATGTTTTTTAAGAAAAACTTGGAAAAAGGCATGGAGTTCCTGGACTTCACTAGAGGAAAGACTTAACCCAGTTTACGAGTGAAACTGGGAACCAAACCATACAACTACACAGTTAATTAAAGGGAAACCAGCAAAAACTTGAGCATGACATTCTAGATGACTAACCAACTCAAAACAGAATCATATTGTTTGTTTGATTTAGAATGTGCAGAGCTGTCTTTGTGATTGATGATCGATAGATCTCAAAAGGTAATAGGAATATATTTTGCAGGTTGTAAAGGTTGCAGACTTTGGTGTTGCACGTGTGAAAGACCAATCTGGAGTGATGACTGCAGAAACTGGAACTTACCGTTGGATGGCACCTGAGGTGCATTGTCATGAATATGTATTTCAAAAAAAAAAAAACAATGCATATTTGTCTGTTTCTTAAATAATGATAGTGATGTTATTATTGAAATTTCAGGTCATAGAACATAAGCCCTACGATCACAAAGCAGATGTTTTTAGCTTTGCTATTGTTCTGTGGGAACTGCTAACCGGCAAGGTAACTGCAGTTGCATTCTTCTACATGATTATGCACAGTTTGTGTTTTCTATTTTTAGTTTGTATATAAATTACTCATAAGAGTCTATTGATTTTCAAACTTTTTGATTCCTCAGATCCCTTACGAGTACCTAACACCACTGCAAGCAGCAATAGGTGTTGTTCAGAAGGTAAGTGCATTTGGCTTCCGTAGTTACGTTATTAGCAGCCCTAAGGATACGACCTAATGGAGTCTTCGATAGATACATACATCTAGGAGGTGCTGTAGTATTTTATTCAGTTCTTATTTTAGGTAGCGGCATGTGCAGACACTTGGGAACAGGGAGCAGTGCAGTTCTGTTAGAAAACAGTCTTTTAGAAGTGATGCCAGCCTTTGCTCTTTCAGGAAGAGTCATTTAAATACTGGACCATCATCCTTGGCTATGCATTTGTTTATTAATAGATTATATATATACATGAGATTAGAGGAACAAGTTCATTCTGTATGCTACAAGTTCTCATGGAAATAAGAAAAGTAGAAAACTTTATCACTAAAACACATATTTAAAGCAACGGGATTTGTATTACTGCCACACAAAAAAAAAAAAACTGTGTACAAAACATACTCTTAATTGTTGATTTCAAGTGAAACAGGTAGCCGTTTATTTTCTTTTTTTTTGTTAAAAGAAATATTGAAACCTTTTGTTTCAGAGCTTTTTATAGAGATTTTTTTACAGTTTCTAGTAATTTTTGGGTAAGGCCATATTATCTGCTCATGTGGAGACTCACATTATGAACAACTTGATTCACCCACACGCATTCTCTCCAGGGTATTAGGCCAATGATCCCAAAAGACACTCATCCCAAGCTTATCGAGCTGCTTCAGAAATGTTGGCATCGAGATCCAACTGAAAGGCCTGACTTCTCCGAAATACTGGAAATCCTACAGAAACTCTCCAAAGAGGTCAGTCCTGCATTTCCGGTTCTCACTTCTAGTTTTTCAATCACATGTCTAAACAAAATTATCATGATTTTACTCTACAACACGAAAATCAAGTCGACAATGTCTTTGCTGTCTAATATTACTCTCCAGAACTGAGCATTGTGATGTCTTACTTTGAAACAGGTGAAAACAGACCCTGAGGGTCGCCACAAAACAAAGTCAGGTTTTCTTGCAGCACTGAAGAGAAGCCACTGAAGGGCACTGGGCACCCACGATAGTTACTCCAATGCAATGTTGGTGCTTGATGCACGCGCTGTAATCACAGCATGCTTGTGAAGTTCTGATGCAAATGGAATAGTGTGCTGTAGTTGTACAGTCACGATTTCCTCGTGTGATTGCAGTTGCTTTTCTCTTTTTGGCTCAGTTGCCTTTTGTTTTGTTTCTCTGTCTCATGTATGTAATCGTAGATGTTTTTGTTGAATGTCCTAACGACTGATATAGATGAAATGTGCTGAAATAAATTCCTGCTAATGAGAAACAATCCTCTTCATGTCAGTAACTCTGAGATTTATCATAGATGATAATTTTTTCTGCTGTAGTTGTACAGAAGTGTGTCCTGTTTCAGCGAACTTTTAATTTGATCAAACGTAGCTCTTGACTGACTTGACTGATGCATTTTGACTTCCGGCACAATCTCAAGAGCAGGATTATTGTGAACAGACTGATCATCAACAATACCCCAAACCTCAGCAAATCGAAGAAATTACATGTAAGTACAACTCATCCTACTCTACTAACATCGGAAATCCTAGCTTAGCTATCATTCATCACCTTTGAGCTTCCTGACCTTGTCGAGGAATGCTTGACGGCCGGGGAAGGGACTGGCGCCCTGTCCGCCTTTCCCCGGCGTCCTCTTCACGTCGAGCATCTCGCCGGCGCGGCTGCCCCGACCCAGCCCCAAAATCTCCTTCTTGGCCGTCCTGATCTGAGCCTGGTTCCTGGCCGACGACGACCCCAGGACACCGCCGTCCGCCACGCCGGCATTCACCCCGAGCATGTCCATCTTGGCCGTCCTCACCTGCTCCTCCCTCCTCATCCGCACCCGCTCCCTCCTCTCGTCGCACTTCGCCCCGGTGCCGCCCGGGTCAGCCCCGGCGGCGTCGAACAGGGAGCCCTTCTTGGCGCCGCCGCCGGTGGAGCTGTTGCTGTTGCTTTGCTTCTTGCGGGCGCCCTTCCTTGGAATGCGGCCGCCGTAGGATGTGCCGAGGAGGCGGAAATCGAGGCGGCCCCACCCCTCCTCGTCGGAGAGGTCCCATCCGAAGCGCTCGGCCATCTCCTGGAGCGGCCCGTCGCCGCCGTCGTCGAAAGCGTAGTCGTAGCCGTCGGCATCACCGCGGAGGAAGCGGTGCGCGTGCTCCCACTCGACGCGGTCGACGTAGACGGGGTCGTCGAGGACGTCGCGCGCGAGGTCCGCCCAGGGCGCGGTGTCCCCGTAGTCGAGTTCGGCCGCGACCCACCGGAGGTACGACGGCGGCAGCGTGCCCAGCATCTGGCCCCTGTGCTTGCCGAACTCGATCACGCGGTCCCTCGCCAGGCGAGACGACGGCGCCGGCGGAGGCGGAGGCGTGGGCGCCGGTCCCGCTCTCGGCGGCCTGGCGCGGCACCGGCACCGGCGCGCGCGGGGGTGGGTTGTGAGGGGAGGGAGGCGGATGAGGTGAGGAGGCGCCGTTGTGGACGTAGGTGTCGGCGGAGCCGGGGAGGACAGGCAGGGTCCGGAAGCGGTCGGGACCAGCATCGTCGCGTGCGCGGCGCGGCGCGGCGGCCGGCGACCGAGGCGTGGTCTCTGGTGGGGAGTGAGCCGCCGCAGCGCACAGATGGAATTATCCGCTCGTCAGTCACAGGCTGGCAGCTCGGCGCGGCGCGATGGTATGGATAAATCATAAAAAAGGCGGGCACATCGTGTCATCTCTCACCTCATCCACATCCATCAGGCACCAGCACAGGCGGCTCCGCCAAGCCCAAGCAGCGATGCCAGCGGTGGCGTCCCTACCGGCGCCGCCGGCGGCAGCCCAGCGGCGGAGGTTCTCCCCCGTGGCTTCGGCCTCGCTGCGCCGGGTCGCGTCGGGCGGGGGCTCCAGCTGGCGGAGCGAGCGGCGGCTCATGTCGGAGCTGGAGCGCACGGTGACGGCGGGCGCGGCCGAGCGCGTCATCCGCAGCTACGTCGGCACCAAGTCGGAGCGCGCCGCGCTCTCCGCGCTCTCCAGGCTCCTCTTGCATTCCAACCCCCTCGCCATCCCGGTGCGCTCCCTCTCTCAGCCGTACCAAGAAAGCTTCGTCATTTTTTCCAACACAAAATAAATTTGAAGTTTTATGCTTGTCCTTGTACCTGACATTACAATCTGTGAGCAATAGATTCAATTTTTGCTAGTTGTTAGCTCTGAATTCGAGCGACCGTAGTGTGAGTGCCTTTTTTCTGATGAACTGTCATTGCATTCGTACTTAACTTGTGCGTGTGCATTCCAAGAACATTTGGAAATGTCTTAGCTTGTTGAACTATATTCCAAACTCCAAAATGGTCCACGCAGAAGAAAAAAAAATCATCACCTGATTCGTCATAAACCAGTAACTTCTAGGGTTAATCGGATACACACCACCGTAATTTTCACGATTTTGAAATACGCCATTACTATTCGCCTAACTGAGCTGGTGCCATTACAATTTCGCAAGAGTTTGAAATACGCCACTATCTACGCCTGAGACCGTCGTGGACCCACTATTCAGGCGTACATGAAGCTGCTGTATTTCCATATGGCCACTTCTGCCCTTCACGCCACGCGAAAGGATAAGCCCCGACCCCACGACGCGCGACGCCCGCGACGCGTCCTTTCTGTTCGCCATCCCCGACTCCGCATTCCTCACTCCCTTCCCCAACCCAATCCCTAACCCTAGAACTCGAGAGCGACGGCGAGGCGGCTGGCGGCGGCGGCGGACTTGGTCTCTGGCGAAGGAGGAGTGGGGCTCCACGATCCATGAAGGTCGAGTGGGCTGTGGCGGCGGTCCAGTAGGTGGCGATGTTCGTTGCGCCAACGGCGGCGGCGCCCGAGGTCGCCGGCGGCTCGATCGCCGACGGCTCAGCCACGGACGGCTCCAGGTATGCTGTTTCGAAGCATCACCCATACTCGCTGATGATTTGGGACCGAGTCGACTCTTCGGGTACTCACTTTGTTCCAATAGATTTAGCTGCGGTCACCACCTCTTTCTTGTTCAATGGAACGAGGAAGAAGATTTCACTACTGCTAACTTGCTGGGAACACCAAATACTCGTTGGCAAGCATGCAGAGAATAGGTGTTCAATACAATCCAAGACTACTGTCACTCTGTCAGATATACATTTTAGGTAGATGGAGCCAAAAGTTGTATGGTTGGTTAGCCTACGTCACAGGCGCGCTGTTTCATCGCTAGTAGGAATCAATCCGATCAGTTTCTCTTTATCTCATTTCGAAAGCTGCATAATTTCATTCAGGAATTCAGTTTGCATTCTACATACTATTGTTGCATTATTTCTAGTGTTCCAATTCAGCCATGACTGCTTTGTTATCCTTTGTTTTGTGCTAGGATGTTTTCGTTAGAGATCAAAGTTGAGGCCTTTATGATGAAAGACAGTGATGGGAAAAAATCTTACTATAAGGGAAGGGTTGTTAACTGGGATGTGGAGCTGGGCACGGTTACCTTTGATTTGCTGCTTTCTAGGGTGTCCAGTGAGGTCAGTTGTAGTTCTAACCAAAAGGGCACAATTTGGTTCTTTGACAAGACTCTATGTGAGGCTGTAATGCTTGTAGATGATGTCCAGTTCCAAAACATGTTTGAAATGTATAAGTCAGAGATGCATTGCCAAGTCCTTGTAGTTGTGATGGATAAAACTGTGTGGGAACAACCCCTGTGTGTGCTTCCAGCTGACATAAATCCAGCACTAAAGCCTGCTACTTATACTGAACTACAACTAGACCTTATCCTTCCTGATCTAGGAATGCAGCCTGGTCCGCTAATGCAGCCTGAACCACCACAACCTATTGATCCAGAACCACAGCCTGATCCAACAATGCCTAAAAAATCCCAAGGTGTTGCTGAAGAAGTATCTGACATCTTTGATAATGAAGAAGAGTATGTTGGCGTCAATGATGAGCATATGTACATTTCACTTCCACCTGCATAGCCATCTATGAATGCGCAAACAGATTCATCTATGCCTACTAATGATGCCAATGAAAATGCTGCTGCTGCTGAAGGAGGTATACCTCCTGAGGCAGAGGTTACTGATGCAGATCCTGATGAGATAAGGGTCCTCCATGATCCTGAGAACCCAAGAATAGAGAAGGGTGCCTTATTTCCTGACATAATCACCTTCAGGAAAGCAGTGAGGCACTATGCAGTGAAGACAGGTTTTGAGCTTGCTCCTGGCATCAAGACTAACCCTACCAGGTATATTGCAAGGTGTAAGCACCCTGGTTGTCCTTGGCGTATTCATGCTTCAAGGATTCATGATCAGAAAACTATACAGGTATAAACTTGCTCCTGTATCCTTGTATTAATTTAGTTTGGATGTGCATACTACTTATTCATGCTTGTCATTTATTCAGATTAAGTCCCTGCCAGAAAAACACAATTGTCCAAGCAAGAAGCTTGTTGTAGGAAAAATGGCTTCTCAAGACTGGGTGGCAGATAGACTACAAGACTGGTTGAAGAAGAATCCAAGCAACCGGCCGAAGGCAGCCAAGGAGAAGGTTGAGGGAGACTATGGAATAACGCTCAAGTACAGCAAGGCATATTCAGGCATGCAGCTGGCACTGCAGCATATTCATGGTAAATATGAAGAGTCATTCAAATTATTATTTAATTGGAAAGCTCAGATGGAGATAACATGTCCTGGTAGCATTGTAGAGATAGATGTGGAGAAAGTAGGCAAGAAAAACAGGTTCAAGAGGATATTTGTAGCTCTCAAACCATGTGTGGATGGGTTTATAGCTAGTTGTAGGCCATTCATTGGTGTAGATGCCTCAAGTCTAAATGGTAAATACACAGGACAGTTGGCATCTGCTACAGGAATTGATGGACATAACTGGTTATATTACATTGCTTATGGTATTTTTGACTGTGAAAATGAGGACAACTGGACGTGGTTTATGCATCAGTTGAGAAGGGCTGTTGGGAGGCCAAATGGACTAGTGATTTGTACTGATGCATGTAAGGGCTTGGAGAAAGCAGTTGGTGCTGTGTTTCCTGAGGCTGAGTACAGAGAGTGCATGAGGCATTTATATTCCAACTTCATGAAGCATTACACAGGAGATGTTTTCACAACTCATCTCTATCCAGCTGCTAGAAGCTACACTGAAGGGCTGTTCAAGTGGCACTTGAAGAAGATACATGATTTTGCTCCTGAAGCAATTAAGTACTTGGAAGATCACCACAACCGAATCTGGTATAGGGCTGGGTTCTCAGAGGACAGTAAATGTGATTATCTGACAAACAATGTGTCAGAGAGCTTCAATAGTCAGGTGAGGGACATGAAAGGGCTGCTCATACATGAGTTAGTTGATGGGCTCAGGGAGATGATAATGGAGAAGAGGTTTCTTAGGAGAAAGGTTGGTAGAGAAATGGGTGAAGGCATTTTGCCAAGTGTTACCAAGGAGCTGAACCTAATTAGCAAACACTTGAGGTTAGTCAAAGTTGCAATAAGTGATGAAGAATTTGCTGAGGTTACCCTTATTGATGAATGGAACAACACCAAAAGGCATACAGTGGACCTAGTCAATCATAAGTGCAGCTGTAGGGTATGGCAGGTCACAGGAAAACCTTGTAGGCATGCACTTGCTTGGATCTTGTCCAACAGAGGCTTGGAAATCAAGGATTTTGTGCACGAATACTACTCTGTTGCCAGGTTCAGAGCAGCATATGCAGACAGAGTTCCACCCATGCCTGATAGGGCTGACTGGCCTGAGGTGGAACTAGGATACAAACTGTACCCACCTCTGCAGAAGAGGGCAGCAGGCAGACCTAGAGTTGTCAGGATCAGAGGGAGTATGGAAGAAAGGGCAAACAAAAGGAAAGTGAAATGCAAAAGGTGCAAAGGCTTTGGGCACTTTGAGAAGACCTGCAAATTTGCTGAACCAACAGAAGATGATGATGGTATTGATGAGACAGCTACACTTGCATCACTTAAAAGGTACATTTCTAATTCCTGATTCGCTTGTCAATGTAAATGGGCAAGGAATGTTTAACTGATAGCCATCTGTTACAGGGTGAGAGAAGAAGATGAAGGACCGAGCAAGACACCAAAAAAGAAGAAGAAGACAAGCGCAAACAAGCAGGCGCCTAAGAAGAAGAAGAAGACTCCTGTAAAGAAGAAGCTAAAGAGGGCTGCAAGTGCTCCTGAAGCAAGAGTGGTGAGAAGCCTCAAGAGTTGGCTCGGCGTGGAGTAGATGATGTTTTTTCTGGAGCTTTTGCTGGTCTAAGTGACCTGATGTGTTCTCTATGAATTTGCTGGTCTAAGTGAACCAATGTGTGTTTTGTAAGTGACCTGATGTGTTTGGGGAACTATGAACCAATCTGTACGGATGTTAAGTAGGATGTTTGCGAACTATGCATGTGGACTGGTGGAATCTTTCCATCTTTACTTTTGGAATGTTGCGAACAATGTTCAGTTTGTACGAAAATGCATGTTCAGGAACTATGCTCAAAGGGAAAAGTGAAGATGCATGTTTTAATTCTGGAAATGTGTGCATGAAAATGCATGTTTTA